AGAGATATGCTGAGCATGTTCTCTCTTATTGGTTTTAACTCCAGATCTGTGCACATTTCATTAAAATGCTTTACTCTGTCTTCTCATGCTGCCTTTTGGAATTTTCTGTTGAGTTTACATTTTATTAAAAAGCAAAATTCCAACATCCAATTCCTGTATATAAGATTAATATATCCCTTAAATGCAAGTTATGAACTTTTAGGAGCTTGTAATCCAACATCAGCACTAGAACAATACTGAAATCATTAAACTATCTGTAGGTTCTACATTTTGCTAGGAAGTAACATCCATCTTGAATTTTATTCCTATGTTTTCTTTTGTGTAATGCTGCTGTGAATATTCACATACATGTCTTTGTGTGGACACATGTTGCCATTTCTCTTGGGTAGATTCCCAGGAGTGAGATGGCTGAAACATATGAAGGTGAGTGAAAAATATCCATACTGCTATCAGAGTCTAGTTCATGCATGCACACGTTTACTCCAAATGGAATGTCTTTAAACATACCTCTGCAAGACGGCTGCAGGCAAGGTCTCCCAGTAATACACTCGTCTTAGGCTCCATAGGGGAACTTCAAAAAAAGATCCAATCAACACAGTGGCTTAATCTTTTTAGGGCATATTTTTAAAAAGAAAGAGGCTCCATTAATACAGTGACTTCCCAGAGGGATCTGCAGGGCCACTTAAATTAAAGGCAGAGACATAACCTTAGAAGGTTATGGTGACAGTTGTTTGGGATTCAGCTAATCTTGATAGATTTTTTTCTAAGAAAATGGAACAGTTTTCTGCCCGACCACGAGACACAGACACAACGTCCCTCACTGACCCATAGCGCTACGAGGGACAGCACTGGAGGTACAGAGCAAGACCTGTGCCCAATCTGACCCCACCACACCGGGGCGAAATGCTACCGGCACGTAACACAGCAGCAAGGGGAGCAAAGCAATGAAGTTCCCGGGGAATACCAAAAGTCCTTTGGGGCCAAGGCATGGCACCCCATCAGACTCAACCAGAAAACATTCCTAAAGGTCACAAACAGACCTGGAACTATTTATGGGTTTTTTAAAATATATTTAGTGTTTTTGTTGTTGTTTTGTATGTTTTTGTTTTCTTTTGTTGTTTTGTTTTGCTCTGTCTTGTTTTTGTGCATATTATTGTCTCTGCATGCCTATCTAGTTAAGACAGGCGGGATAAACAACCCGGAGGAGAAAACAACAGGACCTATATATAGTTCGAGGGGGACACAGGAGAGGGGTAGGTAGGGGAAAGGAAGTGGGTGTTAATAAACCCAGGGGCAAGTGAACAACAAGTGATCTAAAATTGACAGCGAGGAGAGCATAGGATGCCTGGTAGGGCTTGATCAAGGGCAAGGCAACAGAGAGGAATTACTGAAACTCGAATGAAGGTTAAACATGATAATGAGACAAGAGGAAAGTAAAAGGAAATAGAGGAAAGAACTAGGAGGCAAAGGACATTTATAGAGGTTTAAATACAGGCATGTACATATGTAAGTATATTTTTATATAATGATAGGGAAATAGATCTATAAACATATATTTATATGTTAATTATTAAGGTAGCAGACAGACATTGGGCCTCTACTCAAGTACTCCCTCAACGCAAGAACACTTTGTTCTAATAACCTGGCATTCCGTAATGTTCAACTTCCCGACACGATTGCTGAAGACAAAATGGGTGCATAAGCAAATGTAGTAAAGAAAGCTGATGGTGCCCGGCTAGCAAAAGATATATCATCTGGGGTCTTAAAGGCTTGAAGTAAAACAAGTGTCCATCTAGCAGGGAAGCAAATAAGTCCACATAGAAGAAGCACAGTAGCCTGAGTGATCATGAGGTACCAATGGGATCAGGTATCAGGTGTCAAAAGATCCAAAACAAACAATTACATCAATGTGAATGAGAGGAAGTGCAGAGGAAAGACCCAAAGCCCATCAGTAGAAAATTGAACATCCCCTTACAAAAGGATCACAAGAAAGAAACAAACCAGTCGGTGAAATACAGCATCGATGAAATATGCAACTTTCCTCTAGTTCTTTAATGCCCCCTCTCCCCTGCCCCACTATCATGACCCCAATTCTACCTTGCAAATACAGCTAGACCAGAGCATGTACACTGGTACAGATAGGAGCTCAAAACACAGGGAATCCAGGATAGATAAACCCCTCAGGACCAATAATGAGTAGTAATACCAGGAGGGGAAGGGGAAGGTGTGGGGAGGAAGGGGGAACTGATCACAATGATCTACATATAACCCCCTCCCAGGGGGATAGAAAACAAAAAAGTGGGTGAGGGGAGACAGTGGTCAGTGTAAGACATGAAGAAATAATAATTTATAAATTATCAATGGAGGAGGGGTGTGGGAAGGGAGGGCAAAAATGAGGAGCTGATACCAAGGGCTCAAGTAGAAAGCAAATGTTTTGAGAATGATGAGGGCAATAAATGTACAAATGTGCTTGACACAATGGATGTATGTATGGATTGTGATAAGAGTTGTACAAGCTCCCAATAAAATGATTTTTTTTTTTAAATCAGGATAAAAAAAGAGTATTCCTTTGCAATCCAAAAGACAAAGTCACAATAACCTTCTCTACTGATCTCTCTTCCCTAAACTGGCCCAGCAGATCCCCTCAGAAACCAGTTTTGATTGGACTGTGCTCTCTGGATTGTATTGTAAATCTAAGGTTCATCCCGGGCCACTCTGTGAGAGAAAGGTGAGGTTTTCTACAGTCACAAAACCCACAGGGGCGGTTCAACCCTGCCCCATATGGTCTCTATGAAGTGGAATCAACTTGATGGCAGTGAGGTTTTAAGCTTGAATATTACTGAAAAGACTAACGTAAAGATCGCTTCTTTGATCTTTCAGCACTTGTCCAATAAAAAGTTTGTTAAGGCCAAGAAGTTACATTAAAATTTAAAATGCTGAAGAACCATATGAGATCCTATCTTCTCTAAGTATCTATGGTAGCATCGATGGTAATCTATAATTTTCTTCCACTTGTGTCCAGACGTCATCCCCAGTTTCTTTATTCAGCAAGGTTGGCAGTCTTTCTTCTCTTGGCTCAGCTTTGAGATCTTCCTGGCCTTCCTCAGAATGCTTGAACCATCGAAAACTATCCTTTAATGTGGCAGCGTTCCCACTCACTGCGAAGCCTCCATGGTTTGAGAAGACACCCACTTGACTTTTGTTTAATATCTGATATTAGCCTGGACCTCAAAATGGTATTTCTTCCATGCCAAAAGAAAGTAGCCTTTCTCCTGCCTGATACTTGCCCTCGGGAAGAGAACGCAGAAGATATGGGTGCATCTCAAAATGCGGCGAAGAATCAAGATGAATACCCCTAGCCCATGTAGAACCTACTGGTAGTTTCCATGCTGTCACAGGCTCAGAAGAGTGCATAGCTTACATCTACGAGATGTATGCATCTGGAAGACATATATCTTAAAATTCTGTTTTTTAATAAACTATGAACAGAAATGTCCCCAGAATTCAGCTTTAAAATAAAAAAACACAAAAGAGACAACCTGTTGCTCAAATGGAAGGTAGAAATGGAGCGACCCAGCCACTAACAAGCGGTCTGAGAGTGTCATCTGTTCTAAGTCAGTAACTCCTACTTGGATTACAAAAGAATGAATAAAAGGTATAGGAAACGATTCTAACATGTCACAAAAGGGAAGTCACTGTTGGTCAATGTTTCTGAAGGTCAACGTTTTTGCTATTTGCAATCATTATGATCCAGTCGGTCAACAGGAGCCCCTGGATTGTATATAAAGGCTAACAGCTGTTAACCAAAAGGTTGATGGTTTCAACCCACCCAGCTGCCCCTTGGCAGAAAAGGCTGGTGACCAGAAGCTAAACGATCAGAGCTGTAACAACCCGAGCAACCACACGTCGGTTCTGCAACACGCGGGCCAGCCAGGAGTTGGAATGAAGCCTGTGTGTAAAACCCAGAAGCAAACCCACCTGCCATGGAGTTGATGCTGAACCGTGCAACTTGGAATCATTGGAGCAATGGTCTAACTACAGGGCAAAAGGTTTTCTAAAAGAGTGGTTTTACCACCATCTAGTGGTGCATACTGAAACAGCAGGTTTGACTATTTCTTTATTTGGTATTTATGTTCTTTTAGTTATACAAATAAACTGATGATTCCAACTCATAGTAACTTCATGTGACACAGCAGAACTTCCCCATATGAGTCTTTATTTTCAAGACTAATTTGATATAGCTTTTCACACTAATACACATAGCACGTTTATATCTTCAAGTACTTCTTAGAAGTCAGAAAATAAAATAAGTTAAGTACCTCTAAAAGTGTGTGTTTGAGAAAAAAATCCAGTTAGGTTCTGACTGTCAGAATATATGAAAAGAATATGCCTCTTAAGAAATGTGCTTAAGTCTGGCTAGACCAGAGGATGTACACTGGTACAGACAGGAACTGGAAACACAGGGAATCCAGGGCGGATGATCCCTTCGGGACCAATGATGAGAGTGGCGATACTGGGAGTATAGAAGGAGGGTGGGTTGGAAAGGGGGAACCAATTACAAGGATCTACATGTGACCTCCTCCCTGGGGAAAGGACAACAGAAAAGTGAGTGAAGGGAGAAGTCGGACAAGGCAAGATATGTCAAAATAATAATTTATAAATTATCAAGGGTTCATGAGGGAGGAGGGAGAGAGGAGGGAGGGGTGGGGGGAATGAGGACCTGATGCTAGGGGCTTGAGTGGAGAGAAAATGTTTTGAGAAAGATGAGGGCAATGAATGTTCAAGTGTGCTTTACACAATTGATGTATGTATGGACTGTGATGAGTCGTATGAGCCCCTAATAGAACGATTAAAAAAAGAGAAATGTGCTTAAAGAGCCTGTGCTCCCAGAATCTTCAGACAAGTGCCGCGGCATGTATCGGTAAACACAATCTATCTGTCAAGTCACCACCTGAGGACACCACTTCAGTTTTCACATGTCCTCAGACTCTCTGACTCACCCTCCTGTCAGGGGAGAGCCTCAGCCCCCGGACGGACGTGAGATTGATGGCGCACTTCAAGTGAACAGAAGGCGACAAAAGTGACTTCCCACTTTGTAACTTCTAGCGTTCATCCATTCCGGCTGGCCTTCTTTCAGCTCACCTGCCCTTGGGGAAAGGCAGTATTCATGTCACGAGGAGGCACGGGCAGCCCGTGGAGAGCCCACATGGCTGCCTAGGAACAGCCAGCACCAACTTGTCAGTCAAGTGACCAAGTCACGGGGAGCAGATGCTCCATCCCCACCCATGCCTTCACATGACTGAAGTCCTGACGTCATCACTGACAATTGCTGAGCTAAGCGCACCCAAATTCCTGCCCCACAGAGAAGGGAGAGAAAGTAAATCTTCTCTGCTGTGCTACCTTACTTAGTTTTGGGGTGAATTCTTATACAACAATATATAGCTATCTATAAAAATGTATCACTTTCATGTAATTGTATAATTTTCCACATGAAGCAAACTTCAAATTAGGCCCTTCCAAATATAAAAAAGTGATCCTTTTTCAGTGCTCCCAAATTTTCTCATAATCATTTCTAAGTTAATTTACAGGAAAACACTTTCGTCAATATTTTTTTTTAATGTTTCCTTTTTATAGAGTTATTTGTACAAGGGACTGAGTGGAAATGAATGAGGAAGGAAAAGAAGACATGCCCTTAAAGAGCCTACAACTTAATTCAGATTACTGTGCACAAAATAATTTGTCGATGGCACTTTTTTCCTTTAGGCCTAGAGATCATGAGCCAGGGGAAGAAGGTGTGCAGGGTGTCTCTTTACCTCTGTGAGGGACCCACAAGCCACACCCCCGTGCAGGGCTTCGTCCAGAGCAGAGAGGGTGGTAGCTAAGAAGGCGGTGGAGACATCAGCTGACCTTTGCGTCTTCATCCCATGAGCCTGCAACAGAGAAGAAGATGTTCTTTCTGAGCTCCTGAGCTATTCAAAAACATAACCCAAATCCAAATCGCCAAACTTTAGCAGCGATAACCCCAGTCCATCTTTTTCTCTGCTATTATTGATTTGTTCAGCAAATACTCTGTTGCAGGGCTGGGGCTAGATTGTGGGGATACCGCACATCAGACAGAACCCTTATCCTCAGAGTTCTTTTTTATTTTTCTGGAATCATACATTTTTTAAAAGACATATCTTAATGCAGCATATAGAGCACTGATGTAGCAAGACTGTGTTTGTCTGCCTACTAACAGTTCAATAATCTTGATACAGCTGTCTTCCGCTTCCTCAGACACCATGTATTTTCCGTCTTAAGTCCTCAAGTTACAAGTGTGTCTGAGGTAGTGTCCAGTTCACCGAGTAGCGTTTCTGCATTGAATCTCACTGAGGCACCCTCTGGAACATGCTGTGTACCTTGTAAATCCAGGATTCAATGCTCCAGTATTGAATGATCCACCTGGGTCCCCAGGATGCACCCAGAAGCCCGGGTCAATGTGGCCCATTCGGGGCATACAGCCAGGGACATTTCTCCCCTACAGTCCCCAAAAGCATTTTCAATCATGCTTTGCCCCAACCGGAGGTCGGTCCTCCTGCTTTTCTGTCCAACAGTCATGCATTTATGTTCCCCAGACGTGTTTGCTTCCTTCCCCTCTCCTGCTTGATTTCCCATCAGTGTCCCTCATCCCTCGGATAGGGATTCTCACAGTTGTTAATGCCCAGCAAGGACTATGACATCAGGTCTAAAAACTGGGCAATCACGCTACAGTTGGTAGGTGATACTGTGGTAGGGAAAGTGGAGGGAGACATCAAGACAGAACATCTGGTCTGGACTGTGTGATATAGGACGGCCTCATGGAAGAGCTGGGTGTCTGAGCTAACATCTGATGTAAGGAAATGCGAATGCTTCTGCCAAAGAAGACAGGATGCACAGAAGAAGGTCAAGAAGTGAAGAAAGATATGAGACCTAAGTTAATGGAAGCTACAGAAGGTGTCAAAGAGACCACTTAGATAAAGATTGTACAACTCTTCATGCTATGGTTGGACTATTTTATCTATGATATCTGGATGAAGTACCAAGAACACTGTTAAAATAAAGAATTAAACTGCTAAATAGTAAAAATAAAAGGTCCACTTCAAAAGGTTGCAAGATGGAATATGGGTAGAGGAAAGCACTCAAGGAGGGCAGAAAGAGTACCAATCACAGGGGCCTTGGAGTTTAAGCTGGGCGCAAGGAATGGCAGGATTACATGGTTATGTCAGAAAGATACTCAGAATCATTTGTGAAGGATAGTTTGAGTGGGTGTGGTATTCCAAAAAGTATCTCCCAACAACCCAAAGAAAACAAAAAGATGTGCACATTAAATACCTGAGACCTGGGGTTTACCCTATTTGGAAAAAATCCAGGCGACAAAAGTGATATTAAGTTAAGGATGCTGAGGTAAGATCATCCTAGATGATCCAAATCCACCCACTGCCGTCAAGTCGATTCTGACTCATGGCTGTGGTTCGGTGCCATCCTGTGTCCAACAGAATAAAACGCCACCCAGTCCTGCGCCAGCCTCACAATTGGTCTTATATTTGAACCCATGGTGGCAGACACAGTATCAAGCCATCTGGTTGAGAGTTTTCCTCTTTTTTGCTTCCCCCCACCCATTACTGAGCATGATGTCCTTTTCCTCAAAACAATATCCTTGCTTTTCAAAGAGATCTTGTGCAGCAGATTTACCCAATGTAATGAGTCGCCTGATCTCTTGACTTCTGCTTCCATGAACATTGGCTATGAATCGAAGCAAGATAAAAACCCTTGGAAACTTCAATCTTTTCTTTTTATCATAATGTTACCGATTAGTCCAGTTGTGAGAATGTTGGTTTTCTGTGAACTGAGTTGTAATCCATAGTGAAGGCTGTAATCTTTCACCTTTATCAGCAAGTGCTTCAAGTCGTCCACCCTTTCACCAAGTCAAGGTTGTGTCATTTGCACATCTGAGGTTGTTAATAAGCTTTTTACTATCTTGATATGGCATTCTTTATCATATACTCCATCTTCCCTGATTATTTGCTAAGTAAATAGATTGAACAAGAGTGTTAAGAGGATACAACCCTGATGCACTCCCATCTTGATTTTAAACCATGCAGTATTACCTTGTTCTGTCTATACAACTGCCTCTTGATGCATGTCCAGGCTCTGAATGTGCACAATGAAGTGTTGTGGAATTCCCATTCTTCTCAAGGCTAGCCATAGTTTGTTATGATCCACACAGATAAATGTCACAGCATAGTCAATAAAACAAAATTAAGCATCTTCCTGTTAATCTCTGATTTCAGCCAAGATCCATTTAACATCAGCAGTAATAGCCTCTGTTCAACATCCTCTTCTGAATCCAACCTGAGCCTCTGGCAGCTCTCTG